TTCAACCTAGCTTTACTAGGGAAGTGGTGGGGCAGATTAGCCATAGGAGATACTAGCCTATGGAGCCAATTAATCAAAGAGAAGTATGGTCACGATAGAGATAATTGGCTGTGTTGGTTAAGGGAGGGCAACGACAAGGGCTCACTATGGTGGAGAGATCTATGCAAGTTAGGAGAGATGGGGGGAAGAACCAATGATTGGCTTAGGAGGGGATTCCAATTAAAAGTCGGAGAGGGAGCAGTAGTCAGATTCTGGTGGGATGATTGGGTAGGGTGTGGGCCCCTTGCTGAAAAATTTCCCAGATTATTCCTATTATCTGCAGGTCAGCAACATTCAATCAACCAAATGGGGAACTGGATAAATGGCACTTGGAGCTGGAATCTTCCATGGAGAAGGATGCTTTTGCAGAGAGAAAGTGCTCAGATTGATCCCCTTATGAATATCCTAAACGGGGTTAAAATCCAACATGGAATTCAAGATACTTGGAGATGGGTGCACAGCAAGGATGGTAATTACAACACTAGTGAAGCTTACTCCTTACTTGCTGCTGATGGTGAACCTAGTGATCCTAGCATCTACTCCAGGATATGGAATGGTAACATCCCCTCTAAAGTATGTGCTTTTACTTGGAAACTAGTTCAAAATCGCATTCCTTCCAAACTTAACTTGTCAAAACGAGGGATGTGTAACTTTCAAGATGGACTCACTTGTGTCCTTTGCACTACTGTTGTTGAAGACACAAACCACCTATTTCTACACTGCAAAACAGCCTTTAATCTCTGGTCAAAATGTTTTCAATGGTGGGGAGTTGAACATGTAATGCTTGGAACATGTTGGGATGCCTTTAACCAACACAAAAACCTTTTCAGCAACACAACAGTTAAAATAGGCTGGGAAATTATATGGTTTGCAATCACTTGGACAATATGGCTGGCAAGAAATGAGGTAATATTCCAGAACAAACACTTGGACGAAGCGAAACTATTTGACTTGGTGCAAGCTCGTTCATTCCAGTGGCTTAAATTCAAAGGTGAAGGGAAGGGGATCTCACTCTCTGATTGGATACAACAACCAAGATTGAGCACTCTTGCAGCCTTCACAAAAAAGAGGGTAGACATTTGACAAGGACCATACAATGGAGGTGAGACCCTTTTGGGTGAGGAGAAGATAAGTGCATGGTGCTTAATCTGGGTCTTTACTTTCATTTTTCTTTCTGCATGATTATGAAAAGAAAGCCAAGTGTTATGTAATTAAGATTGATGGGCTCATATGAAGAAACTGCAAAGGAGGACAGAAATTCGACACGGGTATAGTGTCGACACATAATTTTGGTGTCGACACCATGTGGTAAACGCCCAAAACTCCGACACGGACGTAGTGTTGACACATGTCTCAGGGGTCGACACCATACGAAAGGTTACTCCACTCATATGATATGATGCCTTTCAAGTTATGATGTTTAT